CAAGGGTTAAGAAAAGTCAAAACAAATTTTTTTGTTTATCTTAACTGTACATTTACGGACATTAAAGACTGGTTAAAACTTTAATTAATGCAATAACAACATAATGAAATATGATAATACATTAGAAACACTAAATAATCAAATAGTTTGTTTAATTTGACACTATAAATAAGGAAACCCATCTTTAACTGTGCACAATTCTGGATCGATATAACTGTTTATCCCTTCCGAATTAGGGTAAGATAAATGAATTTTTCTGTTATCTATCTGGGATAAATAACATAAGATGCCTACACTGAAAAAGAAAAGCGAGGTTTAAAAGAGAAAAGAAAGAAAGGAATTCATTGAGAACATCTTGCAGATGAATCACCAATACCTAATGGAAAAGAACAATCTAAGGAATTAAATAATTCAATAATTGCAGAAGAAGAAAAAAAGATCAATCTAAAGAATTAAATAATTCAACAATTGAAGAAGAAAAAGTAGTAGTCTAATTGAATCAAAAATGAAACAGAATATTGCTGAATATTTTCAAATAAAAAAACCCAACAAAACCTAAAAAAGTAAATATGTCATATAAATACCTTACTGAGAAAGATCGAAGTAAGAGTTTTAAAGAATATAAACGAAAAAGAAGATCAATCTTGACTTTTCGTTCGTATGAAAAAGTAAATGAAGCAATAGCAAAAAGAAAAAAAGAAAAGATCCTGGGGCCTGGTTTTCGAAAGTATCTTACGACTTAAGATGGTCTTACGACATATCATAGTCGTAAGATAGGTTTTCGAAAGTGTCCTAAGTTACGATAAATCATAAATTTCATCGTAATCTTAAGACACCTCTCGACCTGTCTTAAGATGGTCTTATGATTATCATAAAAGATATGATGGACTGCATGTTTAAAGAGGGTTTGTAATGATTATATAAAGATGCCAACTGACCAGGCTGGACTTCGCAATATCATGAGAGGTTTTCATGAAAAAAAACAGACTTTCCAAGTGTAGTTCCAAGTGTAGTCGGTGCCATTGATGGTACACACATACGTATAAAAGCTCCAACAGAGGATGAACATCTTTATGTAAATAGAAAAACTACCATTCTATTAATGTTCAAGCAGTTTGCGATTCAAATATGAAGTATTCTTTTTAGCACTGTTTGTTACTACATTGCTGTGTCGGCTGAAAAGTAAGGACTTATTCTTCTCCACTTCGTCTATCAAAATTTGAATCTCCTGCGATGTAAAATTCGGACTTCTCTTCTTACTCATGATTATGTAAAATAAATATAAATG